AGACGGGCCTCCTGGTACTGACTCAGCTGCTGCAGGGTTGTTCTGGCATGATTGGGACCGTTCTTGTAGTACATTACCCCATCCAGTGGGCTAAGAAGTGACATTGTAAAAGTGATTTAATGTCAGTTGTTTTAAAAAATACATATTGAAGTCTCACGAAGCTGTGATCTGCTGATCTTACCTGTAGTTAGTGTTTGGTGGCTCCTGCTAACTTGCAAGAGGATCTAAACTGGGAGAACAAAGTAGCAAAGCTCTAAAGGCGTCCCCACATGGGGTATGACAAAGGGAACAGACACTCAGTTAAAGGAAGCAGCCACCCAGTAGTGAGCAGAGGTACAGCGTGGAAGCCCAGTTCTCCAAACCCTGCTACCTGGTCAGAGGTGGAATGCTATGGAACAATGGTCTGTACCCTGTCACTTGTATTTTAATAAAACTCTGATTGGCCAATAGCCAGACATGACAGATGGGGCGACCAGGCAGGAAGTAGAAGTGGGGCAACAAGAACAGGAGACTTCTGGGAAGAGGAAGGAAGCAAGACAAGAATGCCTCATTGATAAAGGTACCAAGCCACATGGCTAACATAAACAAGAGTAACGGGCTAATTTAAGATGTAAGAAAGAGCTCATGAGAAGCCTGAGCTAATAGGCCAACCAGTTAATAATTAATATAGTAGACCTCTGTGTATTTTTTTGGGATGAATGGCTGCGGGACTGGGCAGGACAGAAATCTCTGCCGACAGTGGAACAGCAGGACCCTCCGATGCAGCCTCTCTGTGCTGGCCAGAGCTCTAAAGTCCTTGACTTGATTCAGGGCTGGGCCCAGTTGGATGGAGTCCAGGTCAGACTCGGCCACTGGGGAGGCCAGTAGCGCCACCACAACTGTACACATTGTACAAGGTCACATGGCCAGGCTGGCACCTAGTCCAGGGCTCTCGCTCGCCAGGCCAACACGCCTCCTCGGACCTGTGCTGACAGAAAGACATCTTCCTGTCAGTCCTCAAAAGCGACCTCTGTGTGCTTAGGGATGCCCACTCAGGAGGCTTATGTTGCCCAAATCAGGCAAATTCTCCAGCTTGGACTTCTGAGCACACTCCCCAAGGAAGGCGCTCACATAATCATGGGGCTACTAAGGAAAGTCTGATCATCCGCTTTACACTGTGTTCAGGACAAGTCCCTCTGAGGAGAAGGACGACGGCTCAGGGAACTCACAGGAAGGTTCCACGTCTCAGGAGGATCACACAAGATTCAAAGCTGCCCCTCTGCACGCCCAGAATTCATCAGAGCGGCAGCCGGGAAGAGAAGTCACTTCTGTGGAGCTATGGGCAAGTTGTACAGGGACTTGTACGGCCCCGTTTCCTCCGTCTGCTGTCCCCCTTTGTAGCTGAGTTACTAGGCCTTTATGCGCACATCTCCAGGAAGGTCAGGACAGTTGTTTGAGTCAGAAAAGGGCTAATGTCTCCCTGCACCGGGACTGGCAGGTGGACACTGAAGCAGGTTTTTATCTTAATTCTTCCCCTTGTACCAGCCACAGGACTGTCAATAAATAGTAGTGGGCCAGGGTCTAGGTCACTCTCCTCTCCTGTTCTCTTCCCCTCACTCTCCCACACTGTGCTCTCTTACATCTACACACACACACACACGCACGCACGCACGCACGCACGCACGCACGCACGCACGCACACACATTTTCTCCCAATCTCTCTTAACCCTCTCTACTGCGATCTCTCTCCAAGAATATTAATAAAGGGTGAGAGCTGAGCTAAGCAGGCCTTGCCTCTGCCGATTCTGGGACTCACTGTGGCCAGGCCTCCCTAGTCATTTATTTCCCCGCTTCATGGAATTGTCATTGCTTCACCGCATTGCAAGAAAATGATGTCATCGTGTGGGGCCCTGGTCCATTTCCGGGCTTTTAACCCGAGTCTCCTGACCTTTCTCAGCTGTCCTGCTTGGACAAAATGAAACACATTGAAATGTACAGGCCAGCAAACCTCAGCAAGGCCCCTGTGCCTCCAGGATGCGGCTAACTTCTGCAGTTCCATTAACGACCCAAACACCTTATCTGGGTGTCACATCTGGGACACGGCAAGAACACCCCCCTCCCCCATCTTTAAAACGGAGAGGAAATAGACTTCAGATTGTGCCTGCAGTTTCCTGGCCAGCAGACCTTTCTTCCCCTATACTGGGTTTAATTACTAGTGATAATGTACAGTGAAATTCGGCCTCCGCGCATGTTTTTTTTTTTTTTTTTTTTTTTTGGTCTGGGCTTTGTATTAAAGTCTGGGCGAACACTTAAATCTTACGCACTGCCCTTATGTCTCCATGTCGCAGGACGGGTGAAACCCCAGCCCAAGTGATGTTCTGGAATAATTTCCTGGAATGTCAAAGGCTGAAATTGCCCTGTCAAGAACGACTCTGTTTTCGCAGGACTGCAGAGAGCCAGGCCGACTGCGTCCCTCTCAGGTCTAAGTTTTCTCCGCCAGGAAACCAGTGCTCTCAGATCATTTGCATACAGCCAATGAGCATCGTCTACTGTTCCGCGGAGGTCTTGGAGATTGCATGACGACATCCTGAAAGAATCTCAGCTGGGGAAAGGGGATTTTACCCCCCTTTCCCTAAGCCCCATTTTAAATAGTTTCCTTCCCACAGTTCATGAGTCCACATTCAAAGTAAGTAACCCAGCCCGTTTTCCTGCCCAGGGCTCCTGTCACTAGCTCAGGAATCTCAACAACCACACTTTAAAACAAAGGTGCCGTATATATATTCGTTCCAGTCTGTAAACTAGATGGTTTTGGCACACAGGGGGGAGAATTAACCCTTTCATTTCTCCCAGGCAAGGGCACAGTAAAATGCCTGCTCTTTTCTTCGTGACCAGAATGGCAAGCTCTAACCTGTTGATACCCAGTGTAGTTCTTAGCGTTATGGCTAGGGTAGGGTTTTGGTTAACCTAAGACATATGCTATCGCACTGTACACATGATACCACAAAGACTGGATAGATTTCCGGGTTTCCAAATTGTGCACATTTTCCTCAGATTTTCTTCCCACAATTCTAGAAAGCAACTACTGAACTGTTCAGATCTTAGAAGGGTGTGGTAGCAGCCAGAGATCTAGCTTGTTGATAAAATGCCCAAGGGCCATCTTAAATTATTTCAGCACAGAGTGGGGCATAAATAAGAAAGCAGGATATATGTACATGAATAAGCAGGGTCTCCAGGGCTTCGGCGGGCACTCAACTGTTTAATGCAGACATTAGGCAAGTATGAAGTCCCTACGTGTGCAGTTGCCAGACCCAGGGCTAGAAATCTTATCTTAACGAGGCAGATAACAGTGAGTTGAAGATTTGGGACCTGGGAGGCGTGTTCTGGATCACTAGATAGCAATATTTCAGCTCTATGCCCTTGAACAAGTCATGAAGCCTCTCCCAATCGCAGATACTGCATCTGTGAGATGAAGGTGTTTATGTCTTGTGTCTAAAATGTTATGTCTAAAATGTTTACTCTGAACTTTCTGTTTTCAAATAAGTGGAATCCTTCCTGGCTGATGTTTGAAGACATCTACTAAAAGTGTTGAATGAAGTTCAAACCCTTATAACTTTGTGTGTGTGTGTGTTTGTGTGTGTGTGTGCCTGTGCATGTGTGTGTGTGGTGTATAGGCATGCATGTGTCACACAACACATGTCTGGAGGTCACAAGACAATTTTCTGGAGTCCTCTCCTTCTCCATTAAGTGCATTCTGGGAATAAAAATCAGATCAGCGGGATTGATCCCTGAGCGATTGATATCACCAACACTGGGTGTTTAGAGAATCCCAGGTGGATTGGGCTTTCTGCTGTGCTCTTTCCTGCTGGAATCTCATTGATTTCTCTCAGCAAGACTATGAATTAGCTGCTCTCATTATCCCCACTGGACGATGAGGAAGTTCAAAGTCTGTCCTAAAGTGCAGAAGGAGGAAGCTTTCCCATGCAGGTGTCTTTTCTTAAGCTCTGTCAATTTCCGTTTACAGAGCACCTGTGTGTTCCAGACTGTTCTGCGTGACAGAATCGTCACAGGAGGGCTTCCTGGAGCCGATGGCTGGGGTCTGACTCTTCCCAGTTCCTGCAAGTTCCCAGGGCTGTACAAGATACGGAGCTGGGTCACTGATCTCAATCCAGCAATGGGTTGAGGTGAGCCACAAACCAAGAGCAAGCACACAGAAGCTAAGAAACACCTTTCGGATTCAACTGAGAATGAGTGTCTTATAGTCAAGCAGTAACTGCGTGCCATGCCTTCTTGGCAAAGACTGTAAGGGGCCATACAGATCTTGGAGCATTTAATGAGAAATTGGTCTAACATGTATCTAAGGTTCTTTGAATCTACAAAATGTATTTTGTTTGTATGGTTGGGGTTTTTTAAAATTGTAATTTAAAAATTATTTATGTGCATGATAATGGGAGTTTAAACAGTAGCTATGGGAAGACCACAGACCGTATGTGAGAGCTGGTTCTCTCCTTTCGTGCGGGTCTCAGGGGTTGATCTCAGGCTGGCTGGTATGGCAGTACGTGTCTTTACTGGCTAGGCCACCTTGTAGATCTGCTGACAGTATTTTTCACACAGGGTCTCATGTAGCTCAGGCTAACCTCCAACTCACTATGTGACAGAGATGGCCTTAAATTCCTGCCTTGTCTCCCAAGTGCTGGATTACAGAGGTCACAGTCATACCCAGTTTTATGGAGTGCTAGGGATCAAACCCAGACCTCACACATGCTGTAAGTGAAGTGACGGACGAAACTGAGGCTCATTCTTAGTTCGTAAGTGGGTTGTTCTTAGTGCTAAAAGCAAGAATGGGAGAGCAGCTGTTGGTGGGGGTTGGGGGATGAGGTTCCCCTGCAGGCCTCAATTCCACGTTTTGTGTTTTGATGATTTAGAGTCACGTTGGTGGTGGTAAAGAAGAAAAATTGAGAGAAATGACCCTTAATTTATGTGATATGGGATTGCCATCAAATGAGACTCCACTCGTGGAATAATGAAAATGAAAACAAATCATGTATTGGCTATAAAGTTATATCTCATATGTCTATGGCAACAATAATATTTCCATTTCAACACCATAACATGTACATTTTAAAATGTTAATGGGAGGACCAAAGTATACAGTTGTTTCTATTTTATTTCAGAAGAACATAGAGGGAAAGTTTAAAGAACACAATTACTTTGTAAATATTTCAAAATAATGACCAAAAATTAAGGTCAGTTTAAGGGGAACACAACTCCACATTTACTGTTCATTCTTTTGACCCTAGAAAGAGAAGAAAAAGAGAAGTATTTATTTGTACAGTTTACCAAAGAAAATACAATTTGCTTCTGACATTTAATTGAGTCATTGTTATGTCCCAGAAACCCCTGGAGGATGACTCAGATCACAGCGCCATAGAACCACTTAGGATTTAAAAGGCATCATCAGAGAGAGCCGCATTGCTGGGAGTGGCGCGAGGAGTGTCAGCAAGGTATAAAAAAGAAACACACGTGCAATCAAGACTCTGGCAGGAACACAGCACTGGCAGGCCATTACCGCGGCGGGCAGGGGCCGGCCGTGTGCACAAGTGGGGATCTTGGCACGGAGTATTTCTTCTGGTCACTTGCCATTCGTGTTGTCTGCATTGGCTTGGGACTTTTCAAAACCCAACAGGAGATGAAAGGGAACTCTCGGAAATCTTTAGTTGGGAGCCAAGAACTTGGATTTGGTGAGAAGGGAGGGAAGGAAGCGAGTATTTAAGTACTTCTCCAGGACCCTGAGGGCCTCCTTGGTCTCACATCAGATATGATGTCATTCCTCAGTGGCTGAAGATGGGACTGTCCCTTTTTTCCAAAGGGGAAAGTAGACTCACGTGATTTGATTCTGAGTTGCTGAAAGCTGCCCAGACACCCAGATGGGAAGGGTGAGAGGAGATGATTAAACCCCAATCTGTCTGAGGGCAAAAGTGCCAAAGAAGGGCTAGGTAAAAAGCCAGGGAAGGCTACAGGTGCCTGTAACCCTTGCATTGTGGGGTGAAGATAAATGGACCCTAGGCCTTACCTGCCTGTTAGCCTAGCCTAAGACAGCCAACTTCTAGTTCCGTGAGAAATGAGACACTTGACGTGATCGGTTCTATCCCATGCATGCCAGTACACACACACCATGCACACACACGCACATGCACACACACTCATATGTAGACATTCACACACACACACACACACACACACACACACACACACACTGCCATGGAGCGTTGGCTTCTCTGTTCACCCTTAATAACGCTAGCACAACTCTGCAGACAATCACTTTCCTTGGGTAGAAACCCAACCCACTTTCCCTTATCTTCCTTCCTGGAGATGTTTCTTAATTGCATGGCCATAGCAAATTCCCTGTAGCATGAAAATTGTTTTAAGACTTAAAATATGACTGCTGTAGGCTTAAGTGAGATTTTCGCTATAGCTGGGAAGGCATAAAAATGGAATTTAATGTTCATCCTGCTTTCCTTTGACCCTATGCTCCTGTCTTGCATTTCTGGCCCCTTTGTTTGTCTTGATAACCATCGACGAATACACTGTTCTACTTTTTAAATGATGTGTGCTATTTATCGTTTGTCTCTCCTGCTTGGAGGTGAGCTGTATTTTTGGTGTGTCCAGCACATGTCAAGTGCTTAAAAGAGGGACTGGGTCATTTTTCTGCAAGGAGTTAGATGATGCGTATTTTAGGTTTCACTGGTCGCATGGTCTCTGTCAGTGACACTCAGCCGCTACAGGTGAGAGTGGCCTCAGACAGGGGTGGCTGTTTTCTGATAGGACTTTCTCTATGGACATGAAGATCTGTGTATGATGGAACTTTTAAGTGTCATGAAATTTTGATTTTTTTTCCCTCCAAACATTAAAAGAATACAAGTAACTTTGTTGTTAAGCAGCGTGCTAAAATTTCAAGAAGTGGGATTGTGTCTTGGATTTTGTAATAGAGTACACAGAAGAAAAGTAGCTGCATTGGACCCTAAACACTGGGTGTGGTGAACCTCTTTCTTAATGTCCAGTGTCTTAATATTTGGTGAAATGTATTTTTAAAATTTTAAAGGAAGGTTGAAAATTAAATTAATTTATTTACATTTATTTAGTGTGCATATGGAGGCAGAGACACACATGCCACTATGTGTATATATCAAAGGAAAACTTCTGGGAGTTGACTCTCTTCTATTATGTGGGTCTTGGGAATTGAACTCAGGTCAGTAGACTTGACAGCAACCTTCACCTACCAAGCCTTCTCTCAGGCCCAGAAATTAGATTTGAGAGTTGATTTTCTCTAACATAATCTATAATAATAATAATAAATAGAACTATTTTTAGCTTTAGTTTATAGCTCCCCAAAAGGCAGTTGGTCTTCTTTAGCCCCTGGGTTGTAGTTTGCCAACCCTTGGTCTAGAAAATAATGCCTGGAACATAGCAGGTGCTCAGAAAATGGAGCACACTGTGATTGGTCCAGTGGCAGCCCCACGTGGTTCCTATGAGTCTCCCCATCACAGGAAAACAACAGCCAGGATAGCAGGCTCCACACTGCCCTCCAGTCTGATGTCTGCATGAGTTGAAGGACCTCGCACACACCCACGGACTGAGACAACCTTTTCCGACGTCTTCTACAAAGAAGTCATTACATCATTACATTGTTCAAAAATCTAGTTTAATTCCACCTAAACACCGACAGCACAATTGTGTGCTTTGGCGGGGTCATGCTGCAACGAGCCTGTGAACCCAGTATTGAGGAGGTAGAAGCCAGAAGACCGCATGTTTGAGGGTGCCCTGGACCATATTCTGAGTAAAAACCTTATTTCTGGGCTTCAGAACAAGACTGTCTTATCCACCCAATAGAATTGTTTGGAGATAGCTCAGTTGTTAAAATGCTTTCTTGCAAGCGTGAGGACCTGAGTCCCACCTCTAAACTGTACATGAAAGCAAAAAGATGCATATGGTGGCACTTGTCACCACAGAGCAGGGAAGGCAGAGACAGGTAGAGGCCAATGGCTACTAGGTAGCCAGACTGGACCTCTTGGCGAAGTGAGGACCGTGTCTTAAAAAACAGTGCTTAAACTACCTGAGGATGATGCCCGAGGTCGTCCTTTGGGCTGTATATACATGCACACACGTACACACATGAAGGCACATACAGAAACACACACACAGAAAGAATTGCCCTTTGGGCTCTATATACATTCCCACACATGTGTACACATGCGAACATATACACACAAGAAAGCACACATAGAAACATGCACACAGAGAACGAATTGTTTGCCGCCTTCTGAGATGTGTTTCATCTCGGAATATTTCTGTGTGCCACAACTGTTTAAACTACTGCCCATTTTAATTATTTCCTTGATGCAGTTGATATAACAATACTCTTTGGAAAAAGAGAGATGAAAAGAAACACTGATGCCAAAATCCAAGTTTAAAAAAAAGCATAAAAATGATGGCCATTTGGCACTATGCCTCAAGATTATCTTTCCCAAATCTTCGGGTTACATTTTTCTCCCTAACAGTGCGCTCACTGAGCAGCCATTCTGCCCTGGTGGGCCAGCTCCAGGCCAGGAGAGAGCTCGTCTTACAGGAGATGGCTGACATTCCTGAGAACGACACCCGGTGCTGTCCTCTGGACTTCATGTGCACATCAGCACAGAGAAACACACACATGCATACATTAAAATAATCTCCAAAAACCAGCTACCAAGACATGACTAGAAAGAACCATTTGTGCTGTTGTGTTGCCATTTATGAAGACTTCAAGAGAAGATTTCCAAGAAAGAAATTCTGGCCATTAAATCTGGCCATTTTGCTTGGGCATTTTCTTGAACTTGTTCTGTTGTTGATATTTTACTTTTTTGACTTTCTTCCTCCCTCCCTCCCTCCCTCCTTCCCTTCCCTTCCTTCCTTCTTTCTTTCTTCCTTCCTTCCCGACTTCCTTCTCCTGCCTCCTCCTTTAGACAAAACTTTGCTATATGCCCCAGGCTGGCCTCGAACTCAGTCTGGGTTGTCTCAGCCTCTCAAATGCTGGGATAGCAGCATATACTGATACATACAATTTGAAAAGTTTTTTAATATTTCATTTTATGTGCACGGTTGTTTTGCCTGCAGGTTTGTCTGTGCACCATGTGTACAGAGTGCTCATAGAGGCCAGGCAAGGGCATTGAAGCCCCTGAAACTGGGGGAACAAAGAGTTGTGAGCTGCCACGTCAGTGCTGGCTATGACCTGGATCCTCTGAAAGAGTAGCCAATGGTCTCATCACTGAGCCATTTCTGCAGCTCCCAACTTGAAGTTTTTACCATGCAGCCATCTCTTGGTACCCCAGAGGATTGTTTCTAAGACTGCCCTTGGATACAAAAAATCTGTGCTCCTCAAGTCCCCAATATAAAACGATGATCCTTCCCCCAGATTTTTGATCTGCAATCAATTGAACAAGAGAATTTGGAACCCATGTCAAGTGAAGAACAGCTATATTATTTGTAAAATGAATGGGATGTCAATAATATTTTGAGAACTAAGGCCCAGATGAAAAAAATCAATAGAGGAGCCTTAACAATCCCTAACAGTGGGATTTATTTTTTTAAATTAGTTTTTAAACTAGATAATATCCTGGGAGTGAGAAATCAGAAATAAATCAGAGTTGAATTGCCTTGGCCTCTTCCATCAAACCTTGAAGCCTACCAGGATGCAAAACATTAAAAACAAAATGTTAAAGACACACCACTGGACATCTACATGGAATGCAGAGTTAACACAGCGGTGATGAACCTGCTCGGTTCAATAATGGCTGAAAGGAAAAACAACTCTGGCCCTAAACAGGATAACTATGTCATATCCCTTTCCACTCAAGTTCAGGGAACATTGGGCAAGTGGGGGTCAAGGGACAGTAAGAGGCAAAAGTCAAAGGACCACTGCCAAACAGTGTCCCTGGATATGACAGCAGCCGTGCTGGCCTGAACAAGACCAACACAAGATCTAGCCTGCCAACATTCCTGCATGCAATAGATGTGTCCACAAGCCTCCACCCCAACCCAAGGAGCTACTGGTACTTGATTGCTATTGCAAGAGAGAGTCAGTTTTCTTCAAGGTCATTGCCTGTAGTTGCTTACCCAAGCTTCAGGGTATCCACGTGCATACAGCCAGTACTAACTAGACTCCGTGAGAAGGAGGAAAAATGAAATTGGAAGGGGTTCTGGGAGGAGGTTAGAAGGAAAGTATCAGGTGTATATGATATAAATACATTGTATTCATGAAGGAAATTACAAAAGAATTTTAAAAAACAAAAACTTGTAGAGAGGGTAACAGAGACAGTCCCTGCCTCCAAGGAACTCACAGACTCAGGGAAGAGCTACATGTACCAGGCTGTGTTAGGACTGAGGTTTGGATGGTAGGCCAAGGATGAAGGGGTGGCATAGAGGGATACTGCCTTAGTCAGTTTTTTTTTTTTTCTGCTGTGAGGGGATACCATGACTTAGGCAACTCTTCTAAAAGAAAGCATTTAATTGGGGCTTGCTTACAGTTTCAGATATTTAGTCCATTGTCACCATGGCAGCAAGCAAGGCAGCAGGCCTGGCAGACATGGTGCTGGTGAAGGAGCTGAGAGTTCTATGTCTGAACCCGCAAGCAGCAGGAAGGAGGAGACTCTGGGCTTAGAATGGCTTTTTTGAAATCTCAAAGCCCACCCCTCAGTGATACACATCCTTCATCAAGGCCGCCCCTCCCAATTCTTTCACATACTGCCACTCCCTTGTGACCACGTATTTAAATATACGAGCCTGGGGAGGGGGCAATCTCATTCACCTCACCACAGATGTAAAACCAGGGAGTGATAAAGGCAGATTTGAACTTGACAGAGATCATTCTAGAATCCAGGTTCTAGAATGGACACACAGGATGTGTCCTAGGGCGACAGAAGGAGGCGTGCCGAACCTGAGGTAGCAGTCGGTGCTGCGGGGAAACAATGGCGACTCTTTCGACGGCATTGTCAGGATTTGGTATCTGACCTGAGGTGTAAGGCGCCCGCAGAACGTCAGGTCTCCAGCTGCGCCCAGTGTCACGAGTGCTGGGAACTGAGGAGGAGAGGAAGAGGAATGGGAGCCTGAGAGGAAATCTCCCAGTCCAGCAACATCCTGAGGATCAGTTGGCCCCTCAGGGAGGTGTCCAGGAGGCAGACAATTGTATGACTCGTTAGAACAGGAGAGGACACTCAGTTATAGAATTGGAGGGGTGAGGCCAAAAAACCTAGGGCTGGTAAGGAGGCCACCATCTAAGAGGTGATCTTAGGAGGGGAGACTGGGAAGAGGTTGTGGAGAAAAGGGGGAACCATGGACAGATGCAAGGGCATGGAAGGGTGGTGCTGTAGCAGAACCTGGCCACCTTTGAGTCCTTACCTAAGCTCTTTATCATGAGAGGAAGGGAAAATCGGTAACTGTGATGGTTAAGACTGTCAATATGGCAGGATCTAGAGTCACCTAGCAGACAGACCTCTGGGCATATCTGTGAGCGCGTGTGTAGAGAGACTTAACTGAGGTGGGGAGACCCACCCTAAATGTGGGCAGCATCACTTCATGGGCAAGGGCCCTATGCCGGGTAAAAAGGAGAGAGGGAGAGGCGCAGACATTCAAATGTCACTGCTGCCTGACTACAGGTGCAATGTGGCTCGTCACCTCAGGCTGATGCTGTGACTTCCCCATCAGCCCCTCAAACTGGGAGCCCAAACCAACTCTCCCTCAAGCTGCTTTGGTAAGGCATTTTGTCATAGCAACAGGAAAAGAAACACATGCATAAATCATCTTGTAATACTGAGTTCAATTAAGACTCTTACAGCCCACGGCATTGAACACTAGATTTATTATGAGCTCAAGGGCAAGGCACTGTTTGTATGGACTATGTAAACAACTTAAGTCTGGAGTATTCCAGGACTCTCTGGCTGGGCTTGCTGGCCTCCGCTTTCTCTTCAGTCCTCACAATGACTTTTGCTTGGTGCTGAGAGACTTGGAACTGTTTACCTGTTAACATTACGACTCACATTAAAGTCGATCGCTCA